GGCTCCGGGGGCGCCAGCGCCAGCCAGCAGCCTGGCAGTGAGACACATGCCCGCTCGGCCACACCAACAGCCTCGCGGCACCTCCCTCCCTCCCGGCCGTGGCTCGTGACGGTGCGGGCGGCCGGGGAAGGAGGGAGCGGCTGAGCTGAGCCCCAGAAGGGCGTGCCAGAACCAGGCCGTCGGCCTCGGGGCCCGGGCCATCAAGCTGGGGGGCCACCAGGGCCCCCTGAGCTCTTCTGAGCCCCCGTTTTGCACCGCTCCAGGGACAGGCAGCAGAGCCTAGCGGTGAGCGTCAGGAGCGCAGACCAGACGGCTGGGCCCCTGGGCCCAAGTCCCGGCTCTGCTTGTGAGCTCGGGCCGCTGCGGCCTGGCTGCGTCTCAGTTCCCGCAGCCGAGGAACGATGACAGCGACCACTCCCGGCCGCCGGGGCCGCGGGGCCTCAACGGCGAGCTTGGGACAGCGCCTGGCTCCGGCATCTGTGAACGGTGCCGGCACGGCCGATTCTGAAGAGCAACCGCCCGCGCTGAGGTGACGCAGAGCTCAGCCCTTGCCAGCGCCCCCGGGGCTCCGGCAGTGGCCGTCAGGAGCACGGGGAGGCCGGGGCTGTGCGGGGAGCCAAGCTGAGCAGTCAGGTCAAGGGGGCCGTGCCCGGGACCGCTTGGCCAGACGGCGGGCAGGGCCCCCCCGCGCGCTTAGCGGAGGCTACGGGAGGCGGTGGAAGGGCGTGACCCAGACCCACCACCCACGGCACGCGAGGCAGGACCCGGGGGCAGGGCTCACCCTGGCCAGGTCCCCGGGGCTCATGCGGCCCAGCATGTCCAGCGAGACGCGGTGGTGGGCGAAGACGGGCAGGTAGTGCTCGGCTGACAGGTCCACCAGGAGGGCCACCAGCGGGCGCTCCAGGCCCCCCTCCTGCGGACGGCGCGGAGGTGAGCACCCGTGGGAGGACCCCGCTGTCCCAGGGAGCCGCCTGCGGCCTGCGGAGCCGGAAGCCGCCCGGGGGCGCCACGAAACCCGCCTTAACCAGAGATCACCCCCGCTCCTCTGGCCTGTCCCCAGGTCTGTATGCATGACTAAAAGAGTAAATAAATCTAACAAGCAAAAAAGAAATCGGAGCAGGGCCGCACCGTGGCCGCGGCACGGGGACCCTCACCTGCAGCCGCAAGGACAAGGGCTTCTGGCTCAAAAGCCGCTGGTACTGGATCAGCCAGTAGTTCTCCTGCTTGGTCTCGCTTTTGGCCTCCAGCTCCGCCTGCCAGGAGCAAGCAGGAGTAGCAGAGCAGCCGCTCGGCGGCCAAGCGTGACGGCCGGCCCGCCCCCGGGGGAACCCTCCGGCCCACGCCTGCCTCACGTGTAAGCCACGGACACGGGGCGGGCAGTGGCTCGGCCGCCCCGGTTC